CCAGCTCTCTGGCCCTCCCTGCACTGCCATCTCCTCTTTTCTCTGCTCTGACATCCACTCGGCCAGAACCCCATCGTCCCCTTCTCCCCTCTCACCAGGGTAGCCCTGCCCTCCTCTGGCCTCCAAAATCACTTGGTTCTGTAACACAGTCCAGCGACTTGGGCACTTCTCAAGACCGAGCTCTGAGCCCACAGTCCACACGGCCGCCCAGGCTACGGCTAAGCCCTCCCACTCCAGCTCCCCTGAGCCGAAGCCACCACCGGCTCCTCTGTGGACACCGCAAGGCCCTTCCCTCCGCCTCCTGCTCTGACACCCCAGCAGGAGCAACTCGGACTTTTCAGAGTCCTCGGCACCAGAGGAGCTGGCCACGTCTCCCACGGAACTCGCGTGGCCTTACGAAGCTGTAATGCGTCACAGGCCAGACCACAAGTTTCCTATGAGGTCATTTCGTAGAAGTCACAAGAGGTCTCCAGGCCCCAGTGCATGCCAGCCCTGAGGCCCAAGGGACACCACAGGCACCGTCCTCCTTGTGATGGCTGGGGGCAGAGGGATGACAGGGAGGCGGGGCCACCATACAGCAGGAAAGAAGGCAGCGGGCATGGAGGGCAGGGCCCTGAGGCAGGCCAGCTTGTGGTGATTTGGGGGTCACTCGCCGCACGGGGGTGGGCCCAGCAGGCTCTGTGGGCTCGGGAGGACCCTGCGGCCTTCACTGCAAGGCTGGAGGCAGGGGAGGGACGCCAGATGTGTCTTTGAAGCCACTCTGGCTGCAGCAGAAACCTGCCAAGCGGAGCCTGTGCTGACAAGGCCTGCTTTCCAGGTCCCCCACGGTCCCATCATAAATCGCCTGACCCGTGCACACTGCACTTGACCTTGTCTCCTCACGCCCCAGTGACCTGCAGTGGGGTCTGGGCAGGGGCCTTGCCACAGATTCCCTGAAACCCAGCAGGGCCCGTGTCTGCCGTCCGCAGGAGCACCTGGACACGCTGCACCAGGCCCTGGGAGACAGCAGAAGGCGCCGCCAGGGCCTGGCCCTGAGGAGGAGGCTGCTGGAGGAGCAGCTCGCCCGCCGGGAGCACGGGGGCCAGGAGCCCCTGCAGCAGGTGAGGCCCCCAGAGGGCAGGGCCTGCCTTCCCGGCACGGAATCCGTCCCTGGGGCATGAAGGAAGGTCCAGGTGTTCAGGCAGCATCCAGTCCCCAGCTGACAGACGGGGAAACTGAGGTGGGTGGGGGCCCGCGTGGAGTAGAGGCTTCTCTCCAAGGCTTCCATACTCCACAGTGAGCTCCCTAGACAGAGGGTCAGTTGTGGACGCGCCCCTCAGAGAAAAAACACCAGCAGAGCCTGGCGCCCACGCGCGCGGCTCCTCCTCGCCCAGGTGCTCCGCCTTAGGCAGCGCAGAGCGCAGAAGGCGGGGGCACAGCGAGCAGAGAGGCGCATCCGTCAGGGACACACAGCCACCCTGAGCCCTGAAGGGGCCCGTCTGCAGGGGGAGCTCGCGGCAAGGCACGCGCGCCCGCGCCCGGAGCAGGTACTTGGCTCCGATGGGTGGTTCCTGGAGAGGTGGGGGCAGGGGGGAGGGGCGCGCGGTGGAGCGAGCACAGGGTGGTTCCTGGAGAGGTGGGGGAGGCGGGCACAGGCAGGAGAGGCCCAGGGACGCGAACCTGCCTGCCCAGCACAGACGGCGGGATACAGCTGTGGCCCCTCCCACTGCAGGGGGGCCCTGCACAGGGGTGTGGGAGGGGCATGCCAGCCTGGGCTCATCTGTGCCAAGGGAAGCAGGCACCTGTCACTCATGGCAGTTTCTGTCAGCGGTGCCCGGCCAGGGCTTCTCAGAGGGCGTGGGAGAGGCCGTGTTAGATGGCACAGCCCAGCAGACTTCGCAGGGGCCACCTCAGATCCAGTGGACTCCTGGGCTTGTCACTGTGTCACCAATTCCTGCAAAGACTGGCTTCCCAAGGGCAGAGGGACCCGGGGCACCACAGAGCCAGGCGTGGCCTCACTGGAATGAGTGACAAGGTGACAGGTGCCCAGGGCTCCCAGGCTTTGAAGGAGAAAGATGCCAGCAGGGCGTGTGGACACCAGTGAGGGAAAAGGTAGAGGCCGCCGGCCACTGCAGGGCAGGACGGAGGGCGTTCAGCGTGTCAGGAGCGGAGGCAGAACACAGAGCAGCCGGGGCCCCCAGGGCGCAGGTAGCGGGTGATGGCTACTTGTGGCAGGCCCTCCTGACAAGAGAGGCAGCGGCAGGGTAGACCGACCTCACGCCTCGAAGAAGCAGTGAGACTCCTGGGCAAGGGGACTGCTGAGCCCACAGCCTCCAGGAGCGTACCTGTCCCATCACAAGTCCCAGGCAGGCCTTGGTCACTAAGCACACACTGTCCAGCTGAGGAGGACTCAGGGACAGCAGTGTTTACCACAGGGCAGTGGCCAGGTCAGTGGGGTGGCAGTGGGGGGCAGGGACCCTGGGGACAGGATTGGGGTGCATGGAGGCATGGAGGCTAGCTTGTCCAGACAGGAGGCTCAGCCAGCCGCGTATGGTCACCAGGACCCTGCCACTGCTCCTCCAGGGCTGTCACAGTGCTGAGGAGGCGGAGGCCGCCCAGGGTTGCTCCTGGGGACTCCTGGGGGGGGGGGGTTAGGGGGGTTAGCCTGGCCACGATGGCACTGCCTGGAGCAACAGAGCCAGTGTGGGTGCCTGGAGCCGGAGGGGCAGGGAAAGAACAGCTAATGAGTTCCAGGAGGTCAGCTGTGAGGGGCCGAAAACCCATAAACCCTTTATTGGTGTCTCAGGAGGGGAAACCCGGACGTGGCCGTTTGTTGATTTTGGACTTCGCCTTTCTCTTTTTAACATGCACTTCCAGGACTGTCACTGGAATTTTAAAGAAACAGGACTTTCTTTTTCAGTGGAGAGGGCTCTGTTTTCCTCAGTCCTGAAGAAGAGAGGAATCCTTTTTGTGCCTCTCTGACCACCGACCCCATAACGTCACCCTTGAGACTGCTCCCCTCTGTCTCAGGGCCTGAGAGACGAGGCAGCTCCACCCTGAGGGCAAGAGTGCCGTCCTGAGGCCCTGAAGAGAGGCCCGACCTGGGCTGCAGCCGGGCCTGGGCAGCACCCGCAGGGCTGGGCGAGCCAGGTAGTGACAGGCCTGGTTTGGAGAGCAGGACCCGGGCTCCGATCCTGCCCCAGCTGCTGGCAGGCCCGGGACCGCAGGGGCCTCAGGGAAGAGACCGTCCCCAGCTAGCACCACAGGGCAAGCCCGGGATGTCCGTTCCCCGCTCCACAGCGGGCGAAAGGAGCCCCGCCAACCTTCCCCAGCAGAAATGTGTGTTTCCTGGTCCCCAGCTCCTTCCTCTTGCCTGTGCCCACCACGTAGGGCTGGCGGGGAGACCAAGAAGGGGCTCTGCTCGGGGAACTTGCAGCTCCAAGGACAGGCAGTGGGAACAGTGACACCGACAGGCTTGCTGGGACAGGTCAGAGAGGGGACAGAGCCTGTGCTCGACAGGTCCCGCGTGCAGCTCCGGGTGTGCGTGCAGGGGTGCCAGGACCCCTGAGGCCCAGGGATGATGAGAGGGGCCCCGGAAAGGCCCGGGGTGCCACCGAGGAGCTGTGGTGTTCTCCTGCTGAGGACGGCGACGGCCTGTGGTGCTCTGAAGCAGGGTGGCAACTTGATCCCGTGCTCCTTCAGCCTCACCCTGGCTGCACATGCCAGGTGGCCCTGGGTGGGGCTAGGGGTCCTGACCCAGCTTTCCGGGAACCAGAGCCCTTCGCAGGGGCACCCATGTGCTCCCCAGAGAGAAGGCTGGCCTGACCCACCCCTGTCAGGAGGCCTCTGCTGGTTCGCTCTTACAGGTGGAGCAGGAGACCCTGCGGAGGGGAGGGGACACGGTGAGGACAGGGGCTGAGGACCAGCGGGGCCAGGCTCCGAGCAGCCTGCACCACGGAGCGGACCAGCCCTAAGGCAGAGCCAGCAGCTGCAGGTCAGCCAGCGGGTGGGGTTTGGTGTACCCCAGCCTTGGGGGTGGGCCCAGGGGCAGGGGGCCCCGGAGGGCTAGGCCAGCATGCCTCTGTCCAGGGCGCACTCACGAAAGTGCAGGCACAGACAGCAAGGGCGGGCCATACCCCTGACACGGGGCGCCAGGCAGAGCTGGAGCCAGGACCCGGGGCTCCGTGGGCCCCGTGGGAGTGGGGGGACCAACAAGGGACCTTGTGAGCCAGCGCAGGGCCAGAATGGGGAGGGGTCAGGGGCTGTTCCCATGCATGTGCTCACCCCTTGCACCACTGGACAGACCCCCTCCCCCCCATCCCCAGACAAAGAATTTGCAAACAGGGGGAGGCAGCAAGATTCAGCCTGTGATGCCTGGGGAACCCCAGTCCGACCAAGCAGAAACCAGGTGCCCTTAAAGCAGATGTAAGACCCACCCTGCAGGCCTGTGGGTGGGGCTCTAGTCTGCTTCCAGTCCCAGCACAGGGCAGTGGGCCAACTCAGGGCTGGATGAAGCAATATGAGCCCCCATGGCGCTTGAGCAGGCAGCGGTGAGATGCCCAAGTTGTCACCCCAGGTCCAGGCCGCAGAGCTGGGGCAGGCCCACGCCCCGCGGCTCTGGGAGCTAGCTGACCAGCACCAGCAGAACTGGCTGCAGAGGCCGAGCTGCTGCACGGGGCTGGACTGCAGGCCTGGAGTCCCGAGAATAGACCCTCCAGCCGGAGGCCCTCCAGCAGCAGGGTGCCAGCTCTGCTGTCCAGAGGGCTCCAGACCACCTCCAGGGGCTCCACGTCACTGGGAGCCCGAGAGGATTCTGGGGCAGGTCACCACCTCCTCTGCCTCCACCGCCCCACCTGTAACAAGGGTCAGAGGTCGCTTCGTGTGAAGTGTCCACACAGTGCCTGGCAGGCGGCAGTTGTAGCAGAGGTGGCCCCTGCACCTGTCCTTCAGAGTCAGGGGACAGCAGTGGTGTGTGTGGGGGTGAGGTGGTAAAGTGTGACCGAGCCTTGGGAGTAGCTGCACCGCCCCCACACACGCACATACATGCACACACGTGTGCACACACGCACAGACACACCTGCCAGGGCGAACCCACAGGCTCCACGCTGTCAGAGACCTTGTTCTACAGATAAGGAAACTGAGGCCCAGAGAGGGAAGGCGACTGCCTGACGCCACCACCAAGCCACGTCTGCTAAATTTATCAGCCCAGGAGCATTTATTTCCTTCTCACTCTGAGTGTGTTCATGGCCTGAATAGAAGGGGTCCACCCACTGTGGAGTGCGGTTGCCCGGATCCCTAGGACCCCCCCAATGGGTGGGTGTCCCTGACTAGAAGGGGGACGATGCGTCCCTGTCTATCTGCCCGATGTTTCAGTTCCACGCCCACCACATCTCCGGGGGAGCCATGGGCTGTGGCCTCCCAGCCCTTCTTGTCACAGAGCTCTGGGGCCCTGGCCCGGGGCCAGCCTGCCCCACCTGAGCTCCTGACCTGTCCCCAGGTAGGTGACCAGCCTGAAGCAGCAGCTGGACCAGGAAGCACAGCAGCGACAGGACATCCACCTCCGGGCAGGCCTTCTGGGCCAGGAAGTGAGCTCTGTGACTTGATCCACATGGCCTGACCACCGTGGCCCTGACCCCCGTGGCCAGACCCCCGTGGCCTGACCCTCAGGGGCAGCAAAACTGCTAACAGGAAAACTGACACCTCATGCAGCTCAGGGGGCCTAGCTCAGGGGGCGGGGGGACCACAGGGCACAGGCAGCCTGGAGCCCCACATCAGCAGGCGCCCTCTGATTCCACTGACCACTGAGCTCCCCTGGTCCTTGGGACCTGGGCCTCTGCTGGCGCTGGACCGAGCTTCGGAAGGTCCTCTCCCACAGCCCTGCCCAGCCAGAGACGGCCTCCTCACACTCGTGTGAGCCTGGCACTCGGTTTCTGCCTCGGACGGACTGCCGATCGGCCAGACCCCAGTGGCCAGGCCCTGTCAGGCGGGCCTCCATGGCCACGGGCTGCATTCTGTGCCCTCAGCTCTGCAAACACGGGGAGACATGTGGAAAACATTTCCACCAACTGGTGCCAGAAACCATAATGTCCTACAAGGCCCAGCCAACACTCCTCACGTCCGGAGGCCGTGAACCTTCTGTACCCAGGCACTGAGGTCCCTCACGGTGCGAGTGGCTGCAGGTCTCAGTCAGTCCCCGTGACCCACGGGACTGGAAGTTAAAGCTGCAGAACCGCCCACTTTCCCAGCCTGTGAACATGGGAAAATCCTGCGGGAATCTAGTCCAGTTGCTATGGAGACCGAGGCAGCCATCTTGGTTCACCTGTCAGCATTTTTACTCGTTCTCCCCATTAACAGGGTCAGAGTGATTTGTTTTCCTCTCCCAATGGCCTCTTGTATTCCATAAGTGGCACATTTTCAATACCTGTGGGCCCCTGAGGCCTAGGAGCCTAGCTCCTCCTCCCAGGAGCCCCTGTCACACCCTCAAGGACGGGCACAGAGGCCAGAAGGGCCCAAAGCTCGAAGAGCCCGCCCCGCCATGGTCACTGTAAGCTGTGGCCCAAACGTGTGACGGCATCTGTAAGGTGGGTCCAGGCTTAAGAGAGGCTGTCCTGTCAGACCTTGCTTTCTGGTTGAATGCAGATACGTAGTTACCGTGTGTGGTTGTAAACTGCACAAAAGCACCGGTAGGAAAAGGTGTGCACGTGAGTGTCACTCTGCCTGATAACTGGTGCTTGTGTTGAGAAGGATTCTGAAGTTCAGCTCAGGCTCAGAGGAAGAGCAGGCCAACCCATAAGGCATCCAAGGAGGCCGGATCGGTGCTGTGTGAGTCTCGATATCTGCCCACCTGCAGTGGCCAATCGAGGCAAATAGCCACCCAGTAGAGGGCAGCAGGTGGCTACCCCCACTTCTGGAGAGCTCCCCCAAACAGAAAGGGCAGGGCCTTGGCAGAGAGCCGGGGCTCTCAGGGCCTGGCATTCAGTGACGTGTCCCTTCCCTTCCTCCACAAGCGGGTCTGCACCTTCCTTGTGGCGCAAGCCCCGCCCCATCGCCAGCAGGACCTGAGGGATGGGGGTGAGGAAAGGCAGCGGAAGCCAGAGGTTGGAGTCGGTAGCAGTGCTTTCTTCCCCGCATCCCTGCGGTGCCCACTGGCGTCCCCACGTCACAAGTTTGGTTCTGAAGCTCCCAGCAAGGAGCATGGATGGAAGAGGAATCCACTTCGGACATGAAAGGGACCAGGATGAATTCTCAGATTTAAAACAAAGGCCGCCCAGAATTTGACCAACACACTCAGGATGCTCCTTGCCTCTCATGGGAGACATTAAAGTGACTGTGAGGCCTCTAAGGTTTTTACATTTCAACGAATAGTTCAATCAATGTAGGTGACACTACTACTTATTCAATATACAGTGGTATACTTAAGAAAAAGGAATTTTTTAATGGAAATAAATGGGTGTTTTCTTAAGCATTTCCGATGGTGAGCATGAGGACCTGTTGTGTTAGATTCTACAATTACTAAGGGACTTAGAATCGCCTCCCTCTGTTCTCACAACAGCCCTTGGGAGCACTGGTTTACAGGTGAGGCAGGGCCCCCCCCCCCGCTGGCTTCACCCCATCGTCTGCCCAGTGATGTACGGCTCAGGGTCCTGCTGACTCAGGACAGCGCTGGGCCAGGTGGACTGAGCGAGGGAAGGCGCAGTGCCATTTGCCCGTCCTCACCCCCCACGCCCGCCCTCCTGGAGGTGAGTGGGGGGGGAAGGAGGGGGTTGGGTAGAGGCCAGTCCCAGCGTGAATGGGCTGCACTGCTGCCCGTGGCCTCCCCAGAGTCCCAGGGGGCAGGACTGGGAAGGCGGCCTGCCCCCACCCGGCCCTGGTCCCTGGAACTTGGGAGGACCACGCGGCTGTTTCTCCTGCCATCCCACCTGGAAGCTCCCAGCCTGTAAGGGGCCCAGCAGGTCCTGGCATCGGTTTGGAAGCTGCCAGCCTTGGAGGGGAAGGGAGTCCTAGCTCCACCCCTTTGCAGCTCTGCAACCCTGAACAGGCTCTCTCGGCCTCAGTTTCCTCCTCTGTAAGGTGGGGTGACCCCACACCAGAGGGTCATGATGAGTCCTACATGAGATACCACCCAAGTTGACGCCAAACGATGGCAGCTCCATCCCCCACAGCCTGAGGGGCTCCCCCGCTGAGAGGGTGGGAGAGCCTAAGAAAAGGGCCACCCTGGGGGGCACACGGGCAGTGGGAGGAAGGTGGTGCCGCCCCAGACAGGCCAAGCAGGGAGGGTGACAGAGCGCTCGAGGAGGCAGGCCCAGCCTCCAAAGCACCTTGCTTGCCAGGGAGGCAAAGGCCCCGCCTTGGCTGCAGCTGGGCAGGAAACGGGCTGCAGGACCCAGGAGGCCAGCGGGACCAGGGCTGTGGGTATGGGGGCTTCTAAACATCGATATTCTTCCTGTCAAGAAGAAAGCCGCCACCAGCCGTGGCCCATCAGCTGCAGACGCGGAGGTGAGCACGGAGGCTTCCTCTCCAGATGTGCACAGACACCACCGGGGCCCTAGGCATATGCTGCTTGGAATACTCTTTTCTAAAACTTTTACCTGACACATGTCACTAGCGTTTCCCCATGTCATTAGAAACGCCACAGAAGCATGACTTTGTTGGCTGCCACACAGGGATGGGACCAGGGTCTCCAAAGTGCCTTCCGCTGCGCTATCCCGGCAGTCACGGAACACTCGGAAGGTGGGTCTTTGCCCTCAGGGCTGAAGGCGGATGGGTGGCACTGCCTGCCATCGCCTCAGGGCAGGGAGAGCCCTGAGCCCACCTGTAGCCATTCGTGCCCCTCCCTGCAGAACCTCTAGCTCAAAGTGCTTCCGGTTCCTCTCCACTTTTTTTAAATAAAGCGGCAGCAAACATCTCAGGAGTAAATGTTGACCCCCAATCTGGCCCCCATAAGATCAATAGCAGAAGTCCCACCGTGGCTGTCCAGGTACGTGGGGGCTGCGTGGAGGCTATGCCCCCTCGCTGCACGTAGGAGGGGCTGAGTGGGGTAGGTAAGAGGGCTCCACGGACTGGCTGTGTGTGGGCAGCTGTGCGCCCTCACCAGGCCCTCTCACTGCTGCCTCGGTGCGCCCGTCCGGCCTTACAGTGGAGTGACCAGGAGGGCAGGCCTCTGCAGGAGACCCCACCTGCCCCTCTGGGCACTTCACCTCCCACCCTCACTCCCAGAGCAGGAGTGGGGTTCCCTTGGGCAGTGGCTTCTGGTTTCACCTCCATGGAAGGACCAGCTGCTCTGGGGAGATCTATGCCCTATGGGCTGCCTCTTGGCAAGAAGAACAGAAAGTTGGGGGTGCAGCCAGCCGGCCAGCCCCTGCCACTAGCAGCCACACCCAGAGCCCCCACCCCAGCCCTGCCCCGACCAGCCCACTGGGCCAGGTAAGGACACTGGCCACCTAGTCCTGCACGGAGCCCCAGGTCCTGGGCCATCTAGAGGTCTGCTGGGGCTCCCGATCTGAACTGAATACACTCAGGCCCTAAATTAAAATGTCACAGGCTGGTGGGGAGGCTCAGGTTTCCTGCCACAGAACATGAGCCTGCTTTGATAAACCATTTTGGTTTTGATAAATGCGGACTTTCTGTGGCAGAGACAAAGGCGCCCTTGAGTCCGGAGGGGAACCTAAAACAGCACATTGCTGAAAACTATTTCCTGATAATATTTTTAGCACCTGAAAAAAACCCTTTTCTTCTCTTTTTTGCCTGGGGAGTGTGTGTGTGTGTGTGTGTGTGTGTGTGTGTGTGTGTGTGTGTGTAAGGTAATGCCCAGTGGTCATGAGGCCTCGTGTTAACCCCCAGTCTC